TACCTGCGTCCCCCTGTGTCGAGGGGCGGCAGTAGGCTGCCCCTCACTCCTCCCAGTTTCCTCCGACAGAGGCCCCGCTGCAGACGCTTCACATGGACGTGTGGGGCCCGGCCCGCGTCCGTGGACAGGGTCACAAGCGCTACTTCCTGCTGGTGGTTGACGACTACTCGTGTTACACCATAGTCTTCCCCTTGCGCAACAAGGGTGGGGTCACTGAGGTGTTGATCGACTGGATCCGCGCAGCTCGTCTCCACCTCAGGCAGAGCTTCGGCTCGGACGTTCCTGTTCTGCGTCTTCACACTTACAGAGGCGGAGAGTTCTCCTCAGGCCTTCTGCGAGCCTACTGTCATGCACGAGGCATCCGCCAGACCTTCACGCTTCCGGACTCTCCACAGCAAAATGGGATTGCTGAGCTCCGCATTGGCATGGTCATGGATGTCGCTCGTACGTCCATAATGTATGCAGCTCATCAGATCAACCTTCACCCCACGGTCTCCATGTCGGAGACCTCCTCAGCTTTGCTGTGGACAGGAAAGTTTGGCGATGCGTCTGCGTTCCGTGTCTGGGGATCTCGGGGGTTTGTCCGCGACTTGTCTGCTTACAAACTGTCCCCTCGCGCCGCTCCTTGCGTCTTTCTTGGCTTCCCCCCTGACGCGCCAGGGTGGCAGTTCTACCACCCCACCTCTTGTCGTGTTCTGTCCTCCCAGGACGTCACGTTTGACGAGTCGGTCCCCTACTACCGTCTCTTCCCCTACCGCACTCCGTCCCTCCCCCCGCCACCGCTCTTACTTGTGCCAGGTTCCCCCACGGTAGACCCCCTCCCCCCTCAGGGTCCTGCCCCTTCAGGTGTGTCCCAGGTAGACGCAGTCGAGCCTGTCGAGGTTACTGGTGACTCTGGTGCTGCTGAGGGTGCTGAGCCTGGGGGTGCTGACTCTGGGGGTGCTGAGCAGGGGGTGCTACGCCTGGGGGTGCTGAGCCTGAGGGTGCTACTACTAAGGGTTCTGAGCCTGGGGGTGCTGAGCCTGGGGGTGCTACCACTGAGGGTGCTGAACCTGGGGGTGCTCAGCCTGGGGGTGCTACGCCTAGGGGTGCTGAGCTAGGGGGTGCTACGCCTGGAGGTGTCAAGCCTGGGAATGCGGAGCCGGAGGGTGCTGGGCCTGCTCGTGTGGCGTTTGGCGGTGCTCGGCCTGGAGGTTCTCCGGGTGCTTCGTCTCGGCGGGAGCCACTCTCTCCACCGGAGCTGCGCGAGTGGTTTACCCGGCGCTGGAGGCGTGATGCTGGAGCTGGAGGGTCTTCGGCTGCTGAGGGTGCTGGTGCCGCGGGTCCCGGAGGTGCTCGTACAAGGAGTACTGAAGCTGCAAGGCCTGCGCGTACGACTGGAGCTGAAGCTACTGAGGGTGTTGGCGTTGAGGCTACTGCTGTCGGTCCTGGAGGCGGTCCTGCTGGGGGTTCTACTGGTGCTGCTGGAGGTACTGGAGCTGGGGGTGCTGCTGGCGCTGGTGCTGCCGCTGGGGGTACTGGTGCTGTCCCTGCTGTGTCTGGAGTCGCCGCGCGGCCTCGACCGTACTTCGTTCCGCTCCTTCAGCAGGTTCTTGGTCTCCCGCCTTCTACTGGTCCTCCTCCTCCCTTAGAGTGTCAACAGCGTGTCCCGTCACAGTTACAGTTACAGCCTGCCTCCCCACTGCCTGCTCCTTCTCCCTACACTGGTCCTACTGGAGGTCTTGCTGAGCGTCGTGAGCCTGCGTCTCGCCCTGCGTTGCCTGTCCGTGCTGCTCGCACTAGTGGTCGTGGTTCGCGTCAGCGTCCACCTCCTGTCCCTGGCACGCACCAGATGTCTCTACGTCCGTCCACTGCTCCTCTGCGTGCCCCTTTGCCTTCTCCTCCTGAGTCCTTTCTTCCTGCTCTGGCCGACCCGGAGTCGGACTCTCTTCGTGCTGCCAGTCCTACTATCACGCGTCTCCTTACTACTGTCATCACTGACCCTTCCTTTGAGTCCACTGCTGCGTCTACCCTAGTTGCTGAGCTCGTCGACTTTGCTGCTCGCTGTCGTCTAGACTATGCTGCTAGTCTTGTCGCTGAGTCTGAGTCTGTCTGTCCTCCGTCCGTCGGAGGTAAGTGTTCCCTTGGCACGGACGTCCTTGAGGACAGGCAGGAGGAGTTCCAGTGTTGGCTACTGCTTCACCTCATCTCGTGTCCGTACTGCTTACCCCTAAGGGAGACCCGGATGTACTTGACATCCCGACTCCGCGCTCTTACGCGGAGGCGATAGAGGGTCCCTACTCCTCTCAGTGGTAGGCAGCTATGGACGCAGAGATGGCTTCCTGGAAGTCCACAGGCACCTACGTTGACGAGGTTCCCCCGCCTTGGGCGAACATCGTCATTGGCATGTGGATTTTCAGGGTGAAGCGGCCGCCGGGCTCTCCGCCTGTCTTCAAGGCGCGTTACGTGGCTCGTGGCTTCAGTCAGCGGCAGGGAGTTGACTACTTTCAGACCTTCTCTCCCACCCTGAAGATGACCACTCTTAGGGTACTACTGCACATAGCTGCCCACCGCGACTACGAGCTGCACCCTCTTGACGTCAGCACTGCTATCTTGCAAGGCAGCCTGCACGAGGAGATCTGGCTGCGTCGCCCACCTGGCTTCACTCGGTCTTTTCCTCTTGACACCCAGTGGAGCCTCCGACGGCCAGTCTACGGTCTCGGCCAGGCGCCCCGTGAGTGGCACGACACACTGAGGACTACACTTGCGGCTCTTGGGTTTGCTCCTTCTACAGCCGACCCGTCGCTGTTTCTTCGCACCGACACCTCTTTGCCGCCGGTCTACATCCTCGTGTACGTCGACGACTTGGTCTTTGCCACTGCTGACACTGCTGGACTCGCCCACGTGAAGTCCGAGCTGCAGAAGAGACACACATGCACAGACCTGGGTGAACTGCGCAGCTACCTTGGCTTGCAGATCACCCGGGATAGAGCACACCGCACCATTACCCTGACTCAGTCACACATGGTGCAGCAGGTCCTTCAGCCCTTCGGCTTCACGTGCTCCTCGCCTCAGGCCACTCCTTTGCCTACTCGCCACTCGCTCTCAGCTCTGCCTTCGGATGAGTCCGCAGAGTCGAGTGGCCCGTACCCAAAGCTTGTTGGCTGCCTCATGTACCTGATGACCTGCACACGACCTGACCTTGCATACCCTCTTAGCATTCTCGCACGCTATGTTGCTCCTAGGAGACACAAACCGGAGCACATGGCTGCAGCGAAGAGGGTGTTGCGCTACTTGTGCAGTACGTCGGGCATGGGGCTTGTGCTTGGAGGGCAGAGTCCAGTGGTCCTCACTGGGCACGCAGAGGCTTCTTGGGCTGACGACCAGGCTACGCAGTGGTCGTCACAGGGTTACACCTTCAGCCTTCAGCGGTCGTCGTGGCGCTCTACACGTTTGTCTTCAGTTCTCAGCTCCAGTTGTGAGGCTGAGATCTACGCCACAGCCATGGCTGCACAGGAGTTACGCTGGCTCACCTACCTGCTGACTGACTTGGGAGAGCGGCCTCGTTCTCCTCCAGTGCTGTACGTCGACAACAAGGCTATCATTGCCTTGTGTGAAGAGCACAGAGTGGAGCACAGAACGAAGCACATCGCTCTGCGTTACTTCTTGGCTCGAGAGTTGCAGCAGCGTGGTCAGCTTCGTCTGCGTTACGTGGCCACTCGGGCCAACACTGCTGATATATTCACCATGGCACTTCAGTCTGGTGATCATCAGCGTTTCTGCACTATGCTAGGGCTTGTGCCCACTTTTCCTCACTTGTTGTAGGCTTTGCTTGTACTGTGATCTACATATATATATATATATATATATATATACATACCTGCATGCTTGCTTTGCTAGGTAGAGATCACTGTGCTGTTTGTGTTGCATATATGCCTCTGCATGTGGACTGGCCTTGTGGCCTTTTGCTTGTGCTCAGAGTGTGTGGTGACGTTGTGATCCACCCTGAGCTTGCTCTGCCTTTCTTGAATGGTCTTGTGACCCTTTGTTATCCCCCACTTTGCCTATGGGGGTGTGTCAAATGCTATATCTACTACAGTTTGTTTAGGCTGTAGTGGGGTAGTTTTTATGGGGTACAGTAAGTTCAGGGTTTCCTACTTGTACCCAACTCTTTCCTAGTGCAAACACACTTGTTCATTCTGACATAGTCTTAATTTTTGAAACGCTGGGAAAGCGAGCTTGTGCAGAGTTAATGACTTCATCACTTGGACAGGGGGCAGTTGTTGTTGATTTGTCTGTGTCGAGGGAGAAGGTGTGCGAGGCGGTATCACGGCTTTTCATAGCCGGTTGTCCAGGTTGAGCTGGTTGGGAAGAGGTTCCCGCATCGCCTTTGCGCAAGTCTTAGAGTTCTTTCTCCATGGTTGAAATTCGAGCGAATAACTGCTCGAGTGCGGCAGTGCCGATCGTGGTTGTCGCCTCGTTTGTCGCAGCTGGTTGGTTTGACCTTCGGCCGTTAGATTCGCTTGGCCTCCGGATCCTCCGGCCATCTTGGTCTTTGAGCGTGTGCCGCTCGCCAGATCTTGATTCGGCAAATTTTACAGAAGTGATGTTGCGAAGATTCCCTGAGTAGCTCTCATACCATGTTACAATCCCAAGTGGGACTTAGCGAAGGATCACTCGGGGTTGATAGCAGAGTAGTGTTTGCAGCGGAAGTTTGAATCTCAGGTCGGAGTGAATGTAAATGACTGAGTTGATAGGAACATGCATACATCGGGTTTATATATGATTACAGGGGAATACAAAAAGACCTAGACTAGCCATGTACTCTAAGGGGTATAATCCCTTATTGCAACGAATTTCAAACCGTGCGGCGCGGGAACCCGTTTCAAACCTGTTCCCGCTCTTTTCACTTCAAATGTTTCTGCCTGCATCGGTCTTGGTCAGACGGTTGCTGCGTTGCTTTGACTCTTCTGACTCCTCGACTTCGTACTCGGTAATCTCGGCTCCTGCAGCATACAGGAATGCCTTCTCGTAAAGTTTCATATCGTAACACCTCTCCCGTCGCCTTTCCCTCCCGTCGCCTTTCCCCTTCCGTCGCCTTTCCTCTCCCGTCCCCTTTCCTCTCCCATTGCCTTTCCTCTCCTGCCGCCCTTCCTTCTCTCCCGTCGCTCTCCTCTCCCGTCGCCTTTCTCTCTCGTCGCCCTTCTTCTCTCCCGTTGCTTTCCTCTCCCGTCGCCCTTCCTTCCTCCCGTCGCCTTTCCTCTCCCGTCACCCTTCCTTCCTCCCGTCGCCTTTCCTCTCCCGTCTCCCTTTCTCTCTCCCGTCACCCTTCCTTCCCTCCCGTTGCCTTTCTCTCCCGTCGCCCTTCCTCTCTTCCGTCGCCTAGCCTCTCTCCCGTCGCCTATCCTCTCTCACGTCGCCCTTTCTCTCTCCCGTCGCCCTTTCTCTCCCGTCGCCCTTCATCTCTCCTGTCGCCCTTTCTCTCTCCCGTCGCCCTTTCTCTCTCCCATCGCCCTTTCTCTCCCGTCGCCCTTCATCTCTCCCGTCGCTCTTCCTCTCTCTCGTCGCTCTTCCTCTCTTCCATCGCCCTTCATCTCTCCCGCCCCGTCACCCACCTCGGCGCCTTCGTGCTCGCCCCGAAATGCCTGCCTGTCGCCCGTCCTCTCTCCCCTCCCATCACCCACTCGGCGCCTTCGCGCTCGCCCCAAAATGCCTGCTCGTTGCCCTTCCTCTCTCCCCCTTGCACCCAACCCACTACGTGTGCAATCCAACATGCTCGTAGCATGCACGGGACGGATTTTTAGGGGGTAGTTCCATGAGAGGATCCATGTGTTCATCATCACCCATGGTCGCAAAGCAAAATGCCGCGCCCTCCTTATCCAACTTCCCAACGGCTACCGTAGCATAGTCGGCGTACTTGGAGGGAGGATGAACCTCACGACGCTCGCGGGTCAAGGCCAATGGTAGGGAGGAAGGTGTGGAGGTAGTTGCCGCCTCGGTTGGTGGCACCTCCACGACATCATCAACGCTCTCCGTGTTGATCTCTCCCCCTCCATCGTCGTCTTCCATCTCCACTTGAGGTGGAGTCTCACTCTCTTCAACCTCCTCTTGTGGCGGAAGGATGGAGGTGAGTTGTTGAGTGGGTTTCTCCTTCGACGGGAATTTGTCTTCGTCAAAGACCACGTCCCGAGACATGACTATGCGCTTTTCACCCAAGTCCCACACTCGCCATGCACGCTCGTTTGGCGCAATTCTCAGGAAGATCGCCGCACGAGCTTTCGGTTGCAACTTGTGGCAAAGATGATCTGGTACATGGTAGTAGCAAAGGCACCCAAAGGTGCGTAGGCGTGATAGGTTCGGCTTCGTTCCGCTCCATGCTTCGAACGGAGTCGTTCCCGGGAGCACCTTCGTCGGCAAACGGTTGCGAATCCACGTCGCTAGCGAACTCGCCTCACCCCACCACTCGCTCCCAAGCTTGGAGTGTTGAAGAAGTGAACGAACGGCTTCCACCAATGTGCGATTAAGCCGCTCCGCCGCTCCATTTTTTTGGGGTGTGTAGGGTGTCGTGACGTCGTGCTTAATGCCCTTGCTTTTCATCGATTTTTCAAGCATGTTATTCACGAATTCGCCGCCACCGGCGGTGCGAATGCACTTGATCCGCTTCTTGTGGTCGTCGCATACGTCGAGCGCCCACTCTTGAATCGCCTTGGCCGCATCTCCTTTCGCCTTCAAGAGTCGGGTCCAACACATCCGCGTTGCGTCGTCGAGCATCACCAAGAGGAACCGTGCTCCTCCCTTTGATGCGCAGCGCATCGGTCCACACCATCTATGTGAACAAGCGCAAGCGGGTCTTTAGCGAGGGGTGAGGTACGCCTACCAAATGGCTTCCGAGCCATTTTTCCTTCGACACACGCCGCGCACACGCCCTTCTCGTCGTCGGCGGCGATCACGTCGACTCCCTTCACGAGACCCTTGTTGGCCAACTCCTTGACCGACTCGAAGTTGGCGTGCGCAAGCCGATTATGCCACACCTTGAGAGTCGCCTTGGAGCCTTGCGCCACGTTGGATGAAGCTGCTCTTGTTTACGTCTTGAGTTGGTAGATATCTCTGTTGAGAACACCTTGCGCGAATTTCTCCCCCTTCCAAAAAAAGGTTCATCTTCGCATCGTCGATGGTGGCGATCACGCCCTTCTTCGCAAGTTGCGGGACGGATAGAAGGTTCACCTTCACCCTCGGGACGTGAAGCACGTTCGTGACGTCCAGCGGTCCGCTATCGACGATGAGGCGCGTACTCCCAACTCCTACTCGCTTGAATTCGGCATGCTTCCTTCTCGTCGCACGCGTAGACTCCTCCGACCAGCTCTGATACCACTGTTGTAAAGGACTCTCCTCTACTTTACAGGAACTGGGAGTTGTTCTAAACAGTAGAGCACTCTGGTAGTTTTCCAACGAGCGGTAGGTCCGCTCGATCGCCTAAGTATCGAGCGAGATATCGCCATTTATGTGCTAGGTAGTGCTCCTAGATTGAAGGATAGGAGCTCCCAGGTTTTGCACTTCGAATTCACCTTGTACAAGATGATTTAAGTTTTCGATATGAAACATGCAATACAAAGCAAACAGATTTATATGAACTGCAAGACGTCGAATCGCACATGTAACCTCGAACCGCGGTACACTTGAATGTTTGAGTAACATCGAAGGGGTGAAATTCGACTCTCGAATTTCACCGAATCGAGTTCTCCCTTAGTCTCGATTCTTCTTGTGTTGCCATGTGGCACCAATCGAGTGGGTCTTCCGAAGTCAACCCACACACTTCATGAAACCTGCAGCTCACTCAAGCGGTGAGCACCGAAACACATTCGGTGGGTTGGGGGCATATCAATTGCCCCACGACCGTTTGCTTCTAACTCACGAGACCTCCAACACCTCTCTCCCCTCCCATCACCCACCTCAGCGCCTGCGCGTTCGCCCCGAAATGCATGCATGTCGCCCCTCATTTCTCCCCTCCCAACTACCATTCCGCTATTTTCGCTCACTCTGCTCTCTTCGTGCGTTCTTGTTTCCGTCTCCCTATCCCTTTTTAATGGGTAAGTAGCTTTCGCGGGGGTACTACTAGGGACCCCGCGCTTTCTAGAGAGCTACAGTGCCAGCAGGGGGCACTTTCCGCCCCCCCTTGCCTCAGACAGGGGAATTATAGAAACAACACAGAACTCTTTCCCACATTCACCCACGTGTCACAAATTCGGAAAGTTAAAAAACGCACGGCAAAAAAAAAATCCATAGGGAACCTGGACTCGTTTTCGGGAGGGATCAACCCTAAACACGGGAACCCACATTTTTAAAGGGTTGATGCCTCCCCGAGACGCATCTCTTCCCGATCGGGTTTTAGTTTTTTTTCGGTCAGGTAAAGGGATATTTCTTCTCTTGGCTTGCGAATGTTCTGAAACGTGGGTAAATGTGGGACCGAGTTCTGTGTTGTTGCCATAATGTTCCTGTCGGAGTGGCGGAGTGGCGGAAAGTGCCCGCATAAAGCACTGTAGTCCCCTTGAAAGCGCAGGGTCGCTAGTAGTACCCCTGCGAAAGCTACTTACCCCTTTTTTATCTCTAACTTGCAGCCCTCCTGTTTTTTCCCGCATTCTGGTTTTCCTATGCTGTATTTGCCGCTCCAGCAAGTCCATGTCCAAGGCGTTTGTTGTGCGTGAATTGCGCATGCAACACTTGTTGAAATTGGCACACCGTGTGATTGGGATTTGCACGTTGCACATGCTTGCAACGAATTTTGTAGTTTTTTTTTGTGACGTCGAGCGTGTGTGAAAAACACAACAGAACAACACTTCGAATTTCAGAAGTATTACAGCTGATGCTCACCCCATGCACGCGAAATTGCCATGCACTGGATGGAAACGCTGCCCCCGAGCATGAAACCCCCGCTTGCTGCTCCCACAGTACAAGCACCCGGGGTGGCAGGAAACAGTGCGCGCGACTCGGACAGTTTATCACGTGCAGTTCCGAACAACCAACGCCAACCCTGCTGTGCCCCGTTTCCAGGCCAGGAGCCTGCACTGCGAAAGTGAGTGGACGAAACGAACGAGGCCTCGTGAACGCAATCGCCAATCCACCCCGCCACCTAGGCACGGATCATTGTGCGTGTAACAGACATCGTGGGCAAATTCACGATCCCACGTGTAATCTGCCTGTGCGGGGTACAAGCGTTATTGTAGCCAGGCATTGTTCTCATAGGTGACGTCAGACAATTGAACGTAAGGTTACCAACCCCCAACGTCAAATTTGCAAGCCAGGTGCATGGAACGAACTCCAACCACACGTACAGTTCCAAGCCCCAAAGAACAGACCCCAACCTTGTCCCAGGTGAATTCGAAGTGAGGATAAAATGTTAACAACAATTTCACTAAGACAGTTAGTTCACTCACCTCATCCTGACACAATGCCGCGATTTAATCGACGGGAACAGCTGCCGCTCCACATCAAGCGCGCCATTTGCGCGCACCACCTCGAACACCCCGTCCTGCGCCATGTCGACCTAGCTCGATGGTGTTTCTCCCAGTACGGGTTGCGCCCGGATCGCTCTACGATCGGCCGCATCCTAAAAACCGCCGAGCGATGGGATGTGACGTCCGACGGCGCCAACCCGGTGCGCCGTCGGGCAGGCGCCTGGCCAGAGCTGGAGCAGGCCATGGGGCGGTGGATAGCAAACGCAGGACCCGCCGGTGTGCCCCTCACACTCCAAACCATCCGCGACCATGTCGCGGCGATGGCCAGGAACATGGGCATTCCGCCCACCTTCCGATGCTCGATCGGCTGGGTGCGCCGTGCATTGCGGCGCCAGGGCGTGAGATGCCGTGCGGCACAGGGCGAGGCCGCCAGCGCAGATATGGCGGCCGTGCGCGACGCCCGTGAGAAGATGCCGCGACTCCTCACGCAGCTCGGCGTCGCCCCGCGGGACACCTTCAACCTCGACGAGACTGCTCTCTGGCTGTCGGTGCTTCCGCGGCGCACGTACAGCAGCGGCCGCATACCAGGCCGCAAGGTCTCGAAGGAGCGATTGACCGTCGCATTCCTCGTGAATGCGGACGGTAGCCATGCATTCCGGCCGCTTGTGATAAGCAAGGCGAAGAGGCCGCATGACTTCCGGCCCGACTATGACCCTGAGGCGCTATGCTACTGGCGCCATAACGCCAAAGGCTGGATGACCTCGCCTGTAAGCATATTTGCGTAGAATGTGCACCTTTTTGACTCTCATTGCCATTGTTCGCAATTTTGTCATGTGTTTGTTCTCACAATGATGCCGACCGTGTCACATTTTTCCATGCCATCCCGTCCAACAGTTATTCACGCATTTCATTACTCATCTCAACGCGGCGATGTTTGCCGAGGGTCGCAAAATAGTGGTGCTGCTGGACAACGCGAGCAGCCACATGCTGCGCGCCGTAGATGCATGGAGCGAGATCGTGTGCGGCGTCAGGACCACGTGCATGAGCCACGTGCGGCTTGTCTTCCTGCCGCCCAGTACCACGGCATTCACTCAGCCGCTTGACCAGGGCATAATCGCCACCGCGAAGGCCCGCTACCGCCAGCATTGGCTGCGGGCCTTCTCGGGTTTATGGAACGCCGACGGAGCGACTTCCGCGGTCGCTCGATTCCGGCCGAATCTGCGAGATGTGCTCGAGTGGCTGTCGGAGTCGTGGACCTCCGTCGGCGCGCGCACCATTCAACGATGTTGGTGGCGCACGGGGTGTCTTCCCCTCTCGTGGTCACTGGAGCTGCCGCACGTGCATGACGACGAGCCCATCCCCGCAGCTTATCCCGACATCGAACTCGACGATGACATCGATGATGTCGGGACGCTTATTAACACGCTCGACCTCGGGAATGCGGCAATGACGGCGGCGGAATACGTCGCCATCGACGACGCGGAGCCCACGTGTGCGGAAGGCACGGCACACCCGCCCGTGACAGAGGAGGAGATGCGCTCGGAGGTGGAGCTCTGGCAGGCGCCGACGACCATGCAGGCCGTTTACGACGACGCCGACCCCGTGTGCCGTGAAGCGCGCCGCACTGCTCGTGCGGCGTGCGAGATGCTCATCGGCTACGCCCGGGCCACCCGCATCACTCCGCGCGATCTGTGCGCTCTTTTCGACATCCGCAATCCAATCATAATCGCGCGGATGGAGCGGGCGAGCCCGGGATTCAATCTCAACGTGGCGCCGCAGCCCGTACCCTCCCCCGGCGCAACCCCCACTCCTGAGACACCTCGTCCGCGGGGCCGTGTGCTGCCCGACTGGATGACCCGCCAGTCCCGCCGTCAGCAGCTGCTTGATGCCGGGGTGGGCGCCGTGATGGACGGCTATGTGGATGCAGCGGAATGGATGCGTCTGTGAGAGGGGGTGGAGCAGCCAGAGCAAAGTGTCGAGTGAATTTTGCAGGGCCCCAGTGATAAAACATTGTGCCCATTTCGCGGTGTTTCGTTTAGTGTGTTGTGTTGCTATGGGGGGCCAGGTGGGAGTTGTTGATTGGATGTCTATGTTGTGTGTTAGTTGTTTCTCACCTCGAGGAACAATTGATGTGCACGCCTGATTCATTACTGTAAGGGTCGTGTAGTAACATTGAACACACGAGAGAGACAAGCATGGCAACCCCCCCCTGTTACAAAACAAACAAAAGGTGAGGTAACCATATGCGGGTTAGAGGCACGGGATACGCGTGACGAAACGAACGAACCTCTGGCGAAATGATGTTTAGCTTATAGTCCCAGAGCACAAGGCAACCGGGAGGGGCTCTAACGAGCATCAGGTGTACATAGTATGAGATTTCAAGTGGACCCACTAGAAGGGGGGGGGGTCACTATTTTAGCTGCTGGCTAAAATAGTGTGACCTCTGACACATGTCGCTTGGATTTCTGGCTCACTCTCATGGCACGTGTGACCTGGATCAGCACCTGACCCGAGCCTGATTGGGCCGACGACTTCTCTTATTGGCTGTAACATGGAGCAGAATTCCATTGACTCCTGCGGTTGCTTTTCATTGTCAGCAGCAGTCGGTCGTTACACTCTCGTCGTCGTCAGTAACGTGCGTACACATGGCTTCGTCAATCGTCGCGAACGAATGCTCGACGTTGAAGGTGGTCAACGGCGACGAATTTTTCAGATTCTCCAGGTGGTTTTCCAGAATGACCGACTTTACGGTGCCAGCTGTACGCAGAGGATTGAACGACTGTCAGCATGGAATGGTGTTGAATGCATGTATGAGCTGTAGGGAACCTGGCCTTTGACCTGAGATGTATTCGCCTTGTCACGAGGATCTGGCGGTGCCTGCCTGACTACCTGGAAGCTCTGCTCCTATTTTTTTTTTTTGTAACTCCTCTCCGTCCCTCTGTATCCTTCCGCCGACAAACTGTCAGGGCCATGATGCCGACTTCGAAAATGTCACAGAAAGCGTGAAATGTGATGATTCGCCTGAAGATAGTGATTGATGAGCCAAATTTCACCGATCATCACCGCTGAAACACAAGCTAAACCGAAGCAAACAGCAATTCGCGGGAAAACTTTTACCACTACAACTCCCTTTTCCTCAACCCCACATAACTAATTTCACCGACGGATAGCGACGTATCCAGAAATGCACGTACAGCCCAGCCTGAAACTCCCTAATTCACCAGCCCAGTATCAGGTGGTTCCTCATCGCCGTCCCTTTCTTTTGCTCTTTTACTCGGTGCCCACAGGTCGCGCGCGCGCTCTCGGGCTCACAAGAGGAGCAATCATCTTTCCATTCTACCAGCAGCGCCTGCCTTATTATTGTTACTAACTAGCAGTACAAGTTAGTGCGCTGCCTTATTGGATACGTAGTACGAGTCGCACAACGTAGCCACCCCTACTAGTAATGATTCCAGCTGCCGCCGCGGGTGCCACCATAGCCGCCACTGCCGCCGTCTCGTTGGCGAGAATAGCTCCGACAAAACTCCCACAGATTACTTCTCGCAGTGCGAGTAGCACTACTGGTAATAGTAGTCAAGAGTATTCGCCCGTTGCCGCGTATGAGAGGCTGCGCGAAGCGAATCACCGGCACTGGTACCGCTAGTAATAGTAGTAGTGTCGAGGATATGGACTACTATATAGGAATCAAAATTGGGCCAAGCAATCGGTGAGAATCTTTGTGTCTTGCAGCCGGAAGTGGCGCTTTTTTTACTGGATAACGAAGCAGGTCCTTAGCGCGTATACCGCTGAAGGCCGCGCATGCGAACTCCCACTAACTTCCTCACTCCGCCTCCGCCTCCGCCTCCGCCTCCGCCTCTGCCCCTGCCTTCGCCACTGGACCGCGAATTCCCTTCCCCTTCTCCACACACGCACACTCGCAGACCTGCGAACACACACACCGTTGACATCACCGCAACAACTCCTGCTCGCGCCGCATCATCGCCGCATCATCGCCAGCGCCAACAATAATATGGATTCAGGCCGCGACAAGTTGCCGCTGCCGTCGCAGCGATCACAGCGTCGGATCAATACGAACAGCGACTCGAACTCCCAGTCGACGGAATTCCGCGAATCTACTACAACCGGTGCCACTACTAATACGGTCACTACTATGTTTATCACTACCGGCGGCAATGTTGCCCCACAGAGTCCCCCCCTGGTCGTCCCCTCGGGCCCGGTTTCCCCCATCTCTCCGCTCCCCGTGCCCCCGCCAAGCATCATCATCCCTCCGCGCGAGCTCGCGCAGTCCGCCGCGTATGCCGGCGGAGCTCGCGGAGCGTTTGCGCAGAAGCGCGGCGGGGTAGAGCAGCCGTCGGGGCTTCCGCCGTCGCTTCCGCCGTCGCTCGTTCATTGGCCGTACGCGACGCACATGCCCGCCGTGTCCCCGGGTTTCACGCACCTCCCGAAAAGCCACTCCGACGGCAACAACGCGCCGCCCACCGCGTCTCCCGCTACACAGGGGCGGATGCGCCACGAGAACTGGGGGGAAATCGGCTCCCCATGGCAAGGGGAAGGGGGAAGGGGAATCTCTCCGGGGATGACTCCGGGCGTGGCGGAAAGCCCAGCGAGCGGCGGAAGCGCGGGGTGGCCGGCGGGCAGTCACGGGAAGGTGACACGTGTCCCATCGGGTGAAAATAGACCTATTCCGGTCTCCACAGTCCCGTGGCAGCAGCCGAAAATGTCCCCGCTCAGGCGCACTCGGAGTTCCCCCTGCGGGGAGGACGCCCCGGGGGGAGGGGGAACGATCTGGGAGCAGTGGCAGGCGCTGGGGGGATGGGGGCGGAAGGCGGAGGGGAATCAGGGGAGTGCGGGGAGTGGCGGTGGGGGGAATGCTGTTTGGGCTCCTCCGCCTCTTCCTGCTGCTGCTGTCGGCGCTACCCTTGCTGCTGGTGCTGCTGCTGGTTCTGTTGCTGCTGCTGGCGCTGGTGGTGCTGCTGCCGCTGGCGCTGGTAGTGCTGCTGCTAGTGGCGTTGGTGGGGCAGGCAAAGGAAAAAGTGGAAAGAAAAAGGGGAAGCACAGTGAGAGCATTGCGAGCAGGCCGGGCTCGCTGAGGGTGGAAGCAGCAATCAAGGTACGCTGGCTGGCCCGCTGTGCGTGCCACGTGCGTGCTGCATTGCACTCTCTCAGTTCTACACTCGTGATCTGCTCTTGATCTGCTCTGTGCGGCATTGTAAACCTCCTCCTTCCCTTGCATACATCTCATCGCATCTCATCTCAACAACCACATACTTTCCCATATGTCCTCTACTACCTCCACCGCCCCACCCGCTTTCCCCTCTTATCTCCCTCTTCTCATCCTCTCCAACCCCCCCCGCGAATTCCCCCATACCTTCCCTCGCAGCAATCCACGTGGACAGTCTCGCTCCTCACAGCGCCTTGCCACGTGTCCCCATGCCTGTGCATGGAAGCCTGCTTCTGCCCATGCATCACTGCCGGCCGTATCGCCCACGCCCTCGATCCTACTTCCACCACCCCTGCTGCGGGCGCCCTGCTCTACTCCCTCCTCTCCTGCTTCCTCTCCTGCCATGTACGCTCTTCTTCCCCAACAGATTCTCTGCTTGCTTACTCCTGCTTACTCCTGCTTACTCCTTTGACTCAGGAGTAGCTGCTCTGCTTCCCTCCCTTCTCTCTTCCCCCCTCTCACACGCCTTTTTCTGCCTACTGCCTTCCCACCACATCCCACCACTTCCCTCGCACCATCCACCCCCTCATATTCTCTCGCGCCTCCCCGCTTTTCCCGACCCTGCCATTGTTCTCAAGCCTCCTGCTTTTCACGTGCCTACCACTTTTCTTGAGCCACCTTGAAGAAGCACGTATAAGGAGCCTGTAATTCCCCTGTCCCCCTCCCGTAGGTGTTCTCTGCGGTGCTGCGCGGCCGAGTGCGACAGCGGTACAGCCTGCCTGAAGCTCCGTTGGGGGGAGTGGAGGACTGCTGCACGCACTGCTGCTGCAACGCATGCGCGCTCATGCAGGAAATGCAGGAGATGCAGGTGCGAGGGAGGCGAGGGGACTGAGGACAAAGAGAGGGAGGGAGGGAGGGAGGGAGTACGGTTGATCCCCTGGATTTTAAAGCTTTGTTTTGGGTGGGGGAGGGATTGTGTGGTTTGCCTTTTGAATGTCAAGGGTTTGGGTATGAATGAGCTTGGTTGAGCACTGGGCATGCCGAAAAATGCTGTGGTGGCACAGTGTGATGCATCCGTTCCTCCATGCATCCAGCAGCAATGCATCTCTGCTTACCGTCGTCCTTTCTTCCAGCTTTCCCATCTCTTCCCCCCCTCCTCCCCTACTCTTGTGCACGCAATCTCTCTCACACACGCAGGTGCATGGAGACATACCTGCTGTGAAGGTCACACCAGCACCACACAGCGGCACTACACCCCTCATCCCACTTCCAATTTTCCTCTTCCTCTCTCCTCCCCCAATCTTGCTCTCAATCCCTCTCACACACGCAGGTCCACGGAGACATACCCGCTGTGAAGGTCACACCAGCACCACACAGCTGCACTACACCCCTCATCCCACTTCCAATTTTCCTCTTCCTCTCTCCTCCCCCAATCTTGCTCTCAATCCCTCTCACACACGCAGGTCCACGGAGACATACCCGCTGTGAAGGTCACACCAGCACCACACAGCTGCACTACACCCCTCATCCCACTTCCAATTTTCCTCTTCCTCTCTCCTCCCCCAATCTTGCTCTCAATCCCTCTCTCACACACGCAGGTGCATGGAGACATACCCGCTGTGAAGGTCACACCAGCACCACACAGCGGCACGGATGGAGAGGGAGGGAACGGTGCAACCGCGAGAAAGCGTGGAAAGGTTGGGGCCGCTCTCAGGGCACCCACTGTTATCACCATGTGACGCCGCTTCGTAGACTCCAATCCCCGGGTTTTCGGGTCGTCTAAGAAAAACGTCGCTCTCAGGGCACCCACTGTCATCACCATGTGACGCCGCTCCACAGATTCTCCGATCCCCAGGCCCCGGTTCCCGGTCCCTGCCTTTGAGCCTCTATGGAAAAAGCTGCCACCAGTCCCCACTCTCGTACTCTCTTGCATGCACTCTACTCTCCTACGTATGGAAAATGCTCATCAGCAGCAGTAGCAGAAGCAACAGCAGCAGCAACTGCGAGTCATTGCAGCACCTGTTGCCTCCACCTGTCTGCTGCATGCTCGAGTCTCGACCAAACCTCAAGCTCCCTCTGAACACTATCCGAACCTAGAACCCTGTACCATCCCCTCTTCCTCTTCTAGAACCGCTTTTACTTCCCCGTGTTCTAAGCCCCAAGGCCCCATCAGCCTGAGTCTGCATCCCTTCAATGTCCTCTCCCTTTCCTCTTCCCACTCTCCTCTTCCCTCCCACTCACACGATCTCCCTCGCCCTCTTCCCGCCTTCCTCCAGAATCCTCTTACTGCCACCTCCTAAGCACTTCCTTCAATTCTTCCTCCCACTGCTGCTCTGTCTTCTTTTTTATCTCCGAGCACCTAGCACACAGTGTTCCCCTCTCTCAAACTAGAGATTATGCCATCCCACTTCGCCAGCTTCCCATACCCACAATCCAGCTGAGTGTCCTCCCCTCACACACTAATCCTATGCAGCAAACTTTGCACCCAGTCAAGGAGCTGCGGCATCACAATCTAATATTGCAATAGTTCCTCTCGATGCCGTGCAGTGGTTTTTGCGAGTGCTCTCCATTCTTGCTTCCCTCCTCCCATGACTAGCCTGTTGTATTTTCTGATTAACATATCCCATGTAATATTGTTGTAGTGCAATCTGTTATAATTTTGAACCAGTTTGGTAGAGACTGTACTGCCTCAAAGATATTGCACAAATGGATAGGAAGTAAGGGCGTGTCCAACTCATCACACCTCAGCTCAATCTAACCCTTTTTGGTAGGGTAACCGCGTCAAATATTGAAATCAAACTGGATGACGCGATCGGTTTCCCAACGTGCAAGACGAGTCCCATGCCAGATCACATTTCTCACTCCTAAATTTTCCGAAATATTTGCAAACTGGGCAGCTTTGAACTACCGTCACTCGCTTCCTCACGTGCCAGAAACAGGGTGTACCTGCTTCGAGCGACTATGTTGTTTTCGTCGATTGGAACGATTGGTTTTCAATACCCAAGCTACCCTCGCGACGATTTCTATTTTCGCGAAGCCAATGTGTTCTGTTCAATTCAGTTTGTGTGGGCGGGATGCTGGGTCCGCGTACACCCTCAAGGACGTGGAACGTATCTGGGTTCGGATTGACTGATCGTCACCCGAACAGTTGGGATTTCGATACAGGGGTGTGAAACCGGCAAGATGTGAGTATGACCCGCCCTAATATAGCTTGATCGTTCGTTTTTATTTTGAGTATAACCAGATTGATACACTGGAACGTGAATGGCATCAGCTGCAGGTTAGAAAGGTGGAGTGCATTGCAGCTGGCTTTCACGTTTCGTATACAGACTCCAGTCCAGTTTGCCTTGTCATTTCTTGTCAACCTAGCTAGCGTCTTTTACGCTCGACGGTCGCGACTATTGCTGTCCAGCGTCCACCCCATACGTCGCACCAGATTTCACCTTCGTCACCCGTAATTCTTCGTAGATTTCGCAAGCATGCCTCGCTATACGACGTCGCAAACCTTCACGGATGGCAACACGCAGATAGTCGCGCTTCCCGATATCGTAGAAACGAAGCGCGAGGATCCCAAGGGTGACGTGGAGGAGGAGCCGTACGAGGTGAAGCTACAGCGCATCTCCGAGTGCGTCCCGCTGCGCATCACCAGCACCAGCGGAAGCTCCGCGGGCAGCGGAAGCGGAGATTTTCACCAGGTGCGGAGGAATGGGAAAGCAGAAGGGGAAAGCGGAAGGGGGAAGAGGAAGGGGAAGCGGAAGAGAAACGAGAAGGGGAGTGAAGCGGAAGCAGACGGGGAAGGGCAAAAGTAGCGAGAATTCTGTAACATGAGGCAGACGGGTGGACTGGTCGCCTTACCCTGTCCGAGTTCTTAGGCGGTTATACGTGTCCTTTACCCGGTCAAAGAGTCTGAAAATATTTTCGCAAGAGGTGAGTCGTCAGTGTCATACACACGACGACCAGCAGGATGGACTCCAACAAGATCGCTGCTGCGTTGCGGTTGCGGGTCTTCACAAGGAAAGAAGTGGGTGTTAGCCTGGGATCACTCGGAACGGGCGAGCTGACAGCTGCTGCTGGTTCAAGCCTCAGCTGTCACGCTCGTGGTGGCCCTCAACCCGCGCATATCGTACAGAGTTAACCACGCATAGCTTGCATTTGTGACCTAGCCTGGGCCTTTGTTCGCCAGAGCTGCACCGCTTTTGCTTGTTTGCTTCAGATTGCCATCCATGTCAATCTTTGCCCCTCTCTGTGTGCTCCCCCCTTCGTTTGTCTGATTTCCACGTGGAATTGTGGATCCTGTCCCATGACATCTGCGTTCATCTTGAGGGCCAAGTTAAGGGTCAGCTAGAGGTTTAGCCAGAGGGTCAGATCAAGGGTCAGCCTGAGATTTAGCCAGAGGGTCAGATCAAGGGTCAGCCTGATAGTTAGCCCGAGGGTCAGATCAAGGGTCAGCCTTAAAGTTAGTCCGAGGGTCAACCCAAGGTTCAGCCTGAGAGTTAGCCCAAGGGTCAACCCAAGGTTCAGCTTGGGGATTGGACTGAGGGTTAGTCGGGTTATGGTTCGCTATTCGAAGCCTTGCTTCTCCCCATCTCTTTGTGTGCGAGCTTGGGTATGCCTGGGCTGTGGTCATGCACTTGCTTCCCAACTGGAATGGCATGTCACACAACAATGCATGTGTGCGTGTGTGCGTGTGTGCATGTGTGCATGTGTGCATGTGTGCGTGTGTGCGTGTGTGCGTGTGTGCGTGTGTGCGTGTGTGTGTGTGTGCATGTGTGCTTGCGTGCATGTGTGTGTGTGTGCACGTGTGCGTGTGTGCGTGTGTGCATGCGTGCGTGTGTGCGTGTGTGCGTGTGTGCAAGTGTGCATGTGTGCGTGCGTGTGTGCGTGCATATGTTCATGTGTGCGTGTGTGCGTGTGTGCATGTGTGCGTATGTGCGTATGTGCGTGTGTGCGTGTGTGCGTGTGTGCATGTGTGGGAATGTTCATGCGTTTACATGGGCAGTACCGAGCGATGCGGCGGCATGAGCAGGACCGGCTGATGCGGATGGAGGCGGATTATAACAAGCGTATGGAGGAGAAGCGCTTCCAACAACGCAGGTCAGTGAATGTCCTCCTGCGGCCTGTGTGATATCGTAGCCATGCCGAAAGTCATGGCATGGTATGACGTGGTGCAGAGTCTACACTTTTGGTCCGTGATTTATTTTTGAGATCATAGGTTTGAATTGCAGATCGTGCTTCTCTTGCCTCTCTCTCCGAACTCCTTTCCCCCCCTCCTTCCCCCTCCCAACCTGGCCCTCCCTTTTCTTCCCCCCCCAACCTCCGTCCCTTTCCTCCTGACTATTGTCCAGAGAACAACGGCTGAAGGAAGCGGAGGAGCGAACAGCAAAGAAGCGAGCGAAACGGCAAAAGAAGAAAGAGAAGCGGAAGAAGCAGAAAACAGAGGAGACACGGGATGGCAGCTTGCCGAGTGTGGCCGAGGGGCAGAGGGAGGGGCTTGTATCAAGTGATGAGGATGAGGAGGATGAGGCTGCTGCACCATCTGCCCAGGCAGCACTTGATTGAGAAGCAGCCCTGGACTGATCACAAAGACTTACTGTATGAAGCTGGCTGTAAATTTGCATGTGTACTTCACATTGTGATGTTTTATTCAGAGGTCGAAATCTCAAGCAGTTTCTGTAACTCTGCTCTGTTCTGGTTTGGACTGTGTTCTTGTAAGGAAAATCCCTTTTCCTTACTTCGCATCCCTGCTCAACGCGTACATCACTGTAGCACCTCAGGCAGCACCGTTACCACTCGCGATCCTCACATCGACAATCATCCGGCCATTTTCGCACATCGCACCCCAACCTCACGGCTCGGCTGGTAACTCGCGCTCCGGGCCTCCGCTTCGACACTTTCCCAACCTCAGTCCCAGGCTCGTCGCATGACAACCACAGTCCATTACCGTTACCACTGTAGTTTCGCTATATATTCTTCGCTCATGCCTTCGCTCATTGTATTCTTGCTTCGATAGTGCAATTCTCGTTCGTTCACTCAATTGCACTCGTAACACTTGGTATTTAGAGCCTACGATCTCATCTCGGACCGCATCCACACTTTCGCTTCCCCACTATCTCAATTTTTTTGGGGGGGGGGTAGACGTCTCTCAGCGATACAGCACCGCCGCTCGTAGTGCTCTATCGTAAGCACGCACGGCCACGACCGAGGCTCTCGCTGAGCTTGCCCGACACCCCCGCCATGGCCGATTTCACGCTCGCCACATTGACGCAGGAGCAGCTTGATCGTCTCGTGCGTCAACTAGAAGATTCGGCGCTCGAAATCGCGACGCTCATGGCGGAACGTGACTCCGCCCGTCAACAATCCACGGTGAACATTCCGGCGACACCACACGCACCGACAAATGCATCTGCACAATCGGACGAGCCGATCATCATCTCGTCCGGCACACCAACACAACACGACAGCATGGGACAACGCTCAGGCGCAGCCAGTGATGGCGCCGCCCAGCCGATGCCTGGCATGGGGGGAGGCAGGATCGCACCAAGCCCGCGGGAGCCCCGGGAAGCCCGTCGGCACGTGGAATTTGCGGCAACAAGGGGCGAACAGGCCATTACGGCACCAATGCCGCTCAAGCCGCAACGCCCGCCCTGCTTCGACCCAAGCCAACGCGGAGGTCCGACGGTTCAATCGTGGGTCTTCACGATGAACGTCTTCTTCGACGCAAACTACGTCGAGTCGGACGCCGCGAAGATCCGGTATGCAGTTTCGCTGCTAAGGGGCCCCACCATGGACTGGTGGCGAGTCATCGTGACATCGCCACGCGCCTACGAGCCACCGTCGCACGAGGAAGGGCCCACGGGTCCAGCTGTCACCTGGAGTTCGTTCTGCGAGACCGCCCAATACAGCACGTGGGATGCGTGGTGCGCAGGACTACGGGCGCGCTTCGAGCCGATCGCGGCTTCGATTTCGGCGCCTCAGAGATTGCGCACTTGGCGCCAGCTCGGGTCGGTTCAAGATTATACAAGCGGTTTTTTCGCACTTTGCGAACAGGTCGGCTACATGCACGAAGCGGAGCGGGTGGACCGTTACATCGGAGGGCTGAAGCCGGATATCTCGCACGAAATCATGCTGCGCGGACTCTCTAACTTCAACGAGATTCTCACGCTCGCCGAGAAAATCGACATTCTACGCCGACCGAGACCGGGGTCCTACTACGGACATCGCCCTCGGGGACCGACCGAGCACGCCACTGTACACGCCGTCGCAACGAATGCAGCTGCCGCACCGTTCAAGGGGCGCTGCTTTGCTTGCAACAGGCCGGGCCATCGCAAGAGCGAATGCCCAGAGGAGCTGAGGCGCCGCGGAGCAGAGCAGGGGAGGGAGTTGTCAAAGTTAGAAGAAAGAAAGAGGATTGAACTAGCAAGAATGAGGATACAAATAGCAAACCCTAGAAGGGTTGTACTCGCTATAGAGCACCCCACTACAGGCTAGAACAATAAGATAATATTCTGACACACCCCCATAGCCAAAGTGGGGTGTAATCAGCAGAGCAGGCAAAGCAAAACAAGCTCAGGGTGGATCACAATGTCACCACACATTCTGAGCACAAGTTCAAGAAGAAATAGTTTAGAGTTTACAATTATAAGCAAAGCTAGTGGTAGTCACAACGGGCAAGTGAGGAGGAGGAGGGAGAGTGAGGGGAGAGGAGACAGGAGGCGACGGCTGAAGCTGCAGACACACGGGCAACAGGAGGCAGACTGGCACAGCGGCTACCGTACAGCGCCCGGACTACAGGAGTAACAGGCCCCGCGGCTCAAATAGCGGCGGACGGGCAACGGACCCACGGGCGGCTGGCACAGCTGGCTACGACTGGGCTACCGGGACAGCGCCCCGGACTACAGGTGCTGCTGACGACAAACTGGCAACCTCCGCTCATCCTCCCGCACACAGTCCCACCCCCCTGATACACACCCACTGCTACACCACTAGCTCTACTCCCACACACCCTCCTTAAACCCTAAACCCAGTCTCCCACACAACCACCCCCCTCAGCGACAGCTGCAGCAGTGGGAGACGAAGGAGGAGGAGGAGAAAGGGAGGAAGGCACACCGACCACCCCCATACCCGCCACCCCACAGCTCGCCCCTCCCGCGGCCCCCTCAGGAGCCGCGACAGGCGACGGGAAATGGGAGGGAGGGGGGGGGGGGGGGGGGGTGTGGAGGAAAGGGCCCACCACGGACCTGATGGGAGGGCGGAGCCGCGACAAGGGGCGGGGCCGCAACGAGTGGCGGGGCCGCGACGGTCAGGGCGGGGCCGCGACAGGTAGGGCGGGGCCGCGAAGGTAGGGCGGGGCCGCAACGGTCGGGGCGGGGCCGCGACGTAGGGCGGGGCCGCTTCGAGGGGCGGGGCCGCGACACAGGGCGGGGCCGCGACGTAGGGCGGGGCCGCGACGAGGGGCGGGGCCGCGACGAGGGGCGGGGCCGCGACGGTCGGGCAGGGCCGCGACGTAGGGCGGGGCCGCGACGGTCGGGCAGGGCCGCTTCGAGGGGCGGGGCCGCGACACAGGGCGGGGCCGCGACGAGGGGCAGGGCCGCGACGTAGGGTGGGGCCGCGACGGTCGGGCAGGGCCGCGACGTAGGGCGGGGCCGCGACGTAGAGCAGACGCCCGCCGCGCGCCTTGGGGCGCACAGCGGGCAAAGAACCGCCGCGCGCCCCGGGGCGCACGGCGGGCAGAAAACCGCCGCGCGCCTCGGGGCGCACGGCGGGAAGGAAAGGTAGCAGCGGAAGCGAGGTGGAAACCCACCCACAGGATCGATCCAAGGGGATCGACCTGCTCTGATAGCATGTCAAAATTAGAAGAAAGAAAGAGGATTGAACTAGCAAGAATGAGGATATAAATAGCAAACCCTAGAAGGGTTGTACTCGCTATAGAGCACCCCACTACAGGCTAGAACAATAAGATAATATTCTGACAGGAGTCTCAGAGGCAGGGAAACGCCAGCAGTCAGTAGAATTTGGGCCAACTACTGACGAGACTACCTGCTCGCCCAACCGCACCGACCCTCATCGAGTCACAGTACCGATTCACGCCATCGATCGGGCTCGGATGAATAAGGAGGGTACAGCGACGGATTGCCCAGTACTGATCTACGGGAAGATACAGGGAGCAGCAGTGAAGATTTTTATTGACGGAGGAGCAAGTCACAGTTTAGTTAATACCGCGACCGCACGGAAACTGCAATTAACACTTAACTGTTGCTTACCTGAGATAGACGCACGCTTAGTCGACGGCACGCCACTGGCCATACGGGAAAAGGTGAAGCGAGTAAAAATCCGCTGCGGAGGGAACTTCGGGTTTACACAGGAAATGCTCGCCACGACACTGGATGGGCACGACATTTTATTGGGACGTGATTGGCTGCGACGGTATAACCCGCGAATTGACTGGACGACGGGTAGCTGCACCGTGCGAAGTAGTGGTTACTGGGTCGAACTACCTCGCTGGCGGTCACCCGAGTCTTCAACGGTCCACGTCAACGCCATCACGATGAAACGGGTTGTTGCCGCGGGAGCTAATGTGTACGCAATGGATATAGGACTAGTAGGAGAAGAGGAGCAGCCAAGCGATTTTCAGAAACTGTTGGCAGCGGTACCGCCCGTACTTCTGGATCTGTTGAAACGGTACCCGGGGATTTTTCCAGACGATTTACCGCAAGGACTCCCACCTCAGCGGGCGCATGACCATAGGATCGAGTTAGAACCGGGGGCACAGCCAACTGTACAGCGCCAGTTCAGACTGACACAACCCGAGCTCGACGAACTAAGGAAGCAGTTAGATTATTTGTTAGAGAAGCAGTTTATCCGACCGAGCTCGTCATCGTTCGCCGCACCGATACTGTTCACACCGAAAAAAGACGGAGGATTTCGCATGTGCATTGATTACCGAGTGCTCAACAGAGTAACAAGCAAATCGCGATACCCCATCCCCCGCGCCGACGAAATGATCGACCAGCTGCGAACAGCATGGGTATTTTCGAAAATAGACTTACGGGGGGGTTACCATCAAATTCGGGTCGAACCATCGGACTGCGCCAAGACAGCATTTAGGACTAGGTACAGGTCATTCGAGTACACAGTGATGCCTTTCGGGCTGACCAACGCGCCCGCAACATTTCAGATGACCATGAACGAGGCGTTTAGGCCACTTTTAGATAAATGCGTGATAGTTTACCTCGACGACATCCTCGTTTACAGTCGCGACCAGCAGCAACACTTAGTCGATCTCGAAGCAGTGTTTAAAATTTTAGAGGAACATCGGTTACTCACCAAGGGCTCCAAGTGCGAGTTTTTTCGGGATAGGCTAGAATTTTTAGGGCACGTTATTTCGGAGGCTGGAGTTGAAATCGACCCCAAGAAGCAGGATACCGTAAAAGCGGGGCATTCCCCGACGAACATCACGGAGCTGCAGAGTTTTTTTGGGTTTGTTAATTACGTTCGTCGGTTCGTCCCCGACATGGCACGTTTAACAGCCCCGCTAACAGATTTATGTCAGAATCCCAACC